TCCCAGCCTGGCCTCCCCCCACCCCAGTCGGACCTCCCCCGCCTGGCCATGCAGGTGTGAAGAAGCACCACAGAGCACAGAGCCTCCTGTGTCTTGTTTCAGCAAGGACCACTAGCACCAAGAGTCCTCTTAAGAAAGGGCTAGTGGGGCCCTCGTCATAGGGTCCTTTTCCTCAGAAAGGGACGGTCCTCGACAGCTGGCCCGGCAGCCACTCGACTGAGGGAAACAGACCCTGGCTTGTCCACTTGAGCTGAGAAGTGGCTCAGCCAGACCCAAAGACAGCTAGCTGGACACACGACAGCACCCTGGGGGTCAGGAGGCGGCCGTGTCCACAGGCCCTGAGATGTGTGATGTCCCCACTGGTGGCCTGGCTAGGGAAAGGTGGGGTTTGCATGCGCCAGGAGGGGCTGCCCTCACCCCAAAGTGGATCCCAGAGGCCAGAGTGAGGCCAGTCTGGCCCAGAGAACATGCTGGCCGCGCCTGCCGACTCTGAACGCCAGCCCCATGGGCCCCACCTGGGCTCACAGGCGTTGCCCAAACGCACTCACCCCTAGTATCTGAATGCCTCTCTGGGTGGGCTGGCCCAGTGGCCAGACAACGGGGCTGGGTAGACAGAGTCGATGGCCTCTCACTCTGTGATGGACTCATGCTTTGACTTACCTCTGAAAAGCTGCTTCAAGAAATTACTTGAGAAAAGGTGAGAGCGGACGGTGTGGCCACTAAGCCTGCCTGAAACCCAGGGGACCCCGCCAGGCCCCCACGCCCCCTGGCCCCCGGGGAACCCACCCTGGACCTGACTGCCCAGAGCAGCCAAGCACGGCCCGCTCCCCTAAGGCCTCGCAGAGCACCTCCAGGTAAGAGGAGACACGCTTCAGGTGTTGATTCGAAGCATGTGGTGTGGGCGCCTTGGCCTTGCCCCAAACCTGGGAGAAGGAGGCACCCCTCGACCCCCATCAGGAAAGGAGAAGCCGTACCTTCGCCATAAGCCCACCCTACCTGGATGATGTCTGAGAGCTTCTGCAGCCCCGCTGTGTTGGTGAACGGCCCCGTACCTGTGGGAGCAGCAGGCGCTGGCCATCCCGCACCTCCGCCAGGGGAGGCCCCGGACCCTCCGCCCTCAGGAGCCACGAGCAAGCTTGGCCTCAACCCAGCATTGGTGTGGGGCGCGCCCTTGCCGGGGGGCAGTTCCCACACTGCTGCCAGAACGTCTCCGGGGGGTCGGCGGACGGAGAACAGGCTCTGTGCTCAAGTAGGGCTGAGGCTGCTGGGCCACCCCAGGGCCCAGGAGCACAGCAAAGTGACCGTCTGAGATGAGAACAAGGCCCCACCCAGCAGAAGTGGGCCCACGGTACAGCCTCTGGGTGGACACGGGATGCGGGGGGCTCAGGGGAGAGGCTGGCGGGACCCGTGGCTCAGTCGCCTAGCAGGTGCCTCACCACTCTTCCCCTCCGGGGCTGACCAGGGAACATGCTTTACAAAACACATGCCCGTTGAACGGCAGCGAGGCTTCAACACCCCAGGCAGAAAGGGGGATCTGGGGGCAACGTTCCTGCCTGGGGGTGCAGCAGGCTACAGCCCTGAGTCAGGGCCAGTGTGGGGGCCAAGGTGGCCGCGGGGCCCAATGGGGACTCACGTCCTGCCAGGTGCTGGATGATCTGGTCCAGGGAGTCGAGGATGCAGCCTTTGGTCTGAAAGGTTATCTGGGCTTCGGCAAACAGCTCAAAGATGTAGCTGCAGAGGACAGAGGCTCAGGCAGGGCCCAGGCCGCCCCCTGAGAGGAGGCCAAACTTCAGAGCCCTGAGTGTGAAGGAAAAGGCAAGGCCCCACAGGGCAGCTCTGGGAGGCAGGTAAGCCCTGCCGACTGGGCCGTGAAGGCCGAAGGGCCTGGAGCAGCTGGGAAGCAAGTGGGAGTCCCACAAGGCTCTGAGCACAGTGTGACAGATGGGCTCAGGAAGAAGGCAGACAGCAGTGCTCCAGCACATTCTAGGACATTCCACACCTCGAGAACCTGAGGCTGGATCCCAGCACAGCTGTCAATTGTGCCCTGAGGAAAGCTACAACTGGCCCCAGGCCACGATCCCTCGCCTGCCTTTAGGAAATAAAGCCAGGTGCCCTGGGCTGCTGAGACCACGGTCCTGCGCACCCCGGCCAGCCATCCGGGCCTACGGGCGGCCGGAAGAGGAGGCTGGCGGGAAGATGCGCACAGAAGCTCCTCACTCTGAAGGGTGGCTGTGCTGTCGCCCAAGGGCTGGGCCAGAGCTGGAGAGGCCGGGGCCAGGGCAGCTGGGCACTGTAAGGAGAGCCGGGCACACCCACTGTCCTTTACCTCCCTGGCTTGGTGACACCACTCTGGTCCCCCGGCAGCTCAACGGCATCGATGGCCCCCTCCAGGCGAAGCAGGATCACTGTGGGCAAGGGGTCGTCAGGTGCAGCCCGCCCGGCCACGCTGCAGCGGGGGAGGGCAGCACTCACCCTTGAGCTTGGCGAGGTCTTCCAACTCCATGCGCAGCCCTGGGAGAGCGGCAAACGCACAATCACTTTCCACCGCCACGCACCGCATCCTGGAGACAGGATTCGGGCCGGATTCCTGCCAGTTTCCCCAAGTCGTGGCGGTCTGGAGGTTCGCACAGACCAGTCCAACAGGCTCTGAACCCTTGCAGCCCGAACGCAGGCCAGAAGCAGCGGTGTGAGCTGGCGGTGTCTCACCTCTAGGGACACGGGAGCACACGCACACTCGGATGCTCGCTGGAGGCCCAGGACAACGACCCAGCTACAAAGTGTCCCAGCGCCCGCATCGTGGCTCTTGCGAGATCAGATCTCCCACGAGAGGAAACCAGGACTGCTTGGAGACTTGGCTGGAGCCAGATGAGGGACAGGAAAAGCGAGGACAGGTGAGGAATATCCCAGTCTCCCTCAAGGCCTGGCGGGGCCACGCTAACGGCCAAAGATGGGACCCTGAGTTCAGGGAGGATGAGGCTTAGAGCAGACCGTGCTGAAACACAAGTACCCACTGATGACGTTAAAACTACTGTCCTGAGGGGCGCGTGGGGGGCTCAGCCGGTTGAGCGTCCGACTTTGGCTCAGGTCACGATCTTGCAGTTCAAGAGTTCAGGCCCCGCGTCCGGCTCTGCTCTGACAGCTCGGAGCCTGAATCCTGCTCTGGATTCTGTGTCTCCTTCTCCCTGCCCCTCCCCTGCTCATTCTCTCTAAGAATAAATAAACATTAAAAAAATTTTTTTTCAACAGAAAACCCCTACTCTCCTGAGGGGGACAAGGGACCAGTAAGCAGTCGAGAATAAACTCCCAAATATGAAAATTGGGAAAATAAAGGAAAACAAAAAAACAAGCATCTATTCTGCTTTTCCTATAAAAACAATATCACCAGGGGCATCTGGGGAGGCTCAGTTGGTTAAGCACCTGACTCTCGATTTCAGCTCAGGTC